GGTGTGTGTGTGTGTCTGTGTGTGTGTCTGTGTGTGTGTCTGTGTGTGTGTGTGTCTGTGTGTAGGACAGTAGCATCTGGACGATGTGTGTGACCTCTGCATCTCCTGAGGATGAAGCCCAGCTGACTGACAGCAGCGTTCCTGCAGAGGTTAAACCCTGTGAAGACATGGAGACAAACCTGCACAGGTAACACAAAGTTACAGTTAGGGTTTGGGTTTTAGTTTGTTTTATTCAACTTAAACAGTAATAACCCTGCTCCTTTATTATATGTGTRGGAAACTCAAACATAATTATCTGAAGAGAGACACCTTGCTGGTATTTCAGCTTGTCTTGTTGGCTGGTAGACAGGAGTACCATGTAACAGGCCTTCAGTAGACCCTGAGTCCAGACCACCTGGACTTAAAGATGTAGTTKATAACTGATAAAAATGTATTTTTACATATTTGTTCAAACTGTCACGATGTCCTGACAGATGGAGATGAGACAGATAATCTGTGAAAAAATAAAGTTCCTCTGGCTCCTCCCACTGCTCATACAGCCATTAACAGAAACACACCCCTCCCAGTCAGAAACAGCCAATCAGAGACCAGAGGGTTGTCTCACCGGTGTCAATCATGCTGATGTCCTCACTGCTCCTGCTCTTCCCCTGCCCAGGGYATCATTGTCCAAGCTCAGGCTAGCTGGTGTGCTGCAGCTGTTTATCTGCCGTCGTTAGTCTTCCTGAGCCGAGACGCTCAGCAGTTCATGGTAGGTTCACTGTGGGAGGGGCAAAGCTGTGGAAGCAGGGCTTTAATGCAGCAGAGAGCAAGTATGTCAGCACGATGGCTCAGTGGTTAGCACTGACACCTCACAGGTCCTGGGTTCGATCCCCGGTTCAGAAGTGGGACCTTTCTGTGTGGAGTTTGCATGTTTTCCTTGTGCTCGTGTGGGTTTTCTCCAGGTACTCCGGTTTCCCCCACCCAAAAAAAAACCTGTTCAATGGGTTTCCTTCAGACCCAGGCCTTCCTTGCAAAACAGATCTATGATCTCAGTGGGACTTGCCWGGATAAACAACGGTAAGATAAAATCAAAGGGGGAGGGACCTGTGAGGTGTTTTTGTTCCAACTTACAGACTTAGTCCACTGTTTTCTTAAATCTGCCAACTGCAGCTTTAAATGGAGTTAGACTAGTTTATATGGTGAGTTCATACCCCCCAGGCCTGACTATACCTCCACAGTTTCAKTTGAGTCTTTCACACAAGAGTTCCTTCATTCTAACCCTAACATCATGATTCGGCTATTCTCCACTGGGTACAGTTTGATGAAGGACAGATTTGTATTCCAGCCTGGGCCAAACTTCAGCTTTAATCTGGAACTTCAAGCCCTAACTRAGACACACAGTCACTTCTTTAAGAAAGCTAAATGTATCCTGACTGGGCTTTTCTGAAAGCAGACAAGAAACCCAAACAGGATTCCAGCCAACAACCAGCTGAAAATGAAGACCCTAAACCCAGACCCAAACCAGTCGTCATTCCATATGTGGGGGGAGTTTCAGAGAAACTGAGACGTTTATTCTCTAAACATGACGTCCCAGTGGCTTTCAAACCCCAAAACACGTTACGACAAAGATTGGTTCATGGATCATCAGTTCCCCGGCACAAACAGTGTATGCTGTTAAGTGTCAGGAGG